TTTCATTGCCCCCCGCTTGTCGCTGACGTTGTCCCCCCCCCCCCCCCCCCCAATGGCAGAGCGAAGGCGGGTGTGGAGGGTAGGTGACGGTAGGTGTGGGCGGTCGGGGCGGCGTGGCGGGTGGTAGCGTTGGGGTGGCGGTGGGAGCGGCGTGGATGCCGGCATGCTGGGGACAAATAGAAAGCAAAGTCCCAACATACAAACAAGGGAAAGGCGGTGGTTGGGGCGGTGGGGGTGGCGTCGTGCTGGAGACAAAGAATACAATGATGGTGTGGTGGTGGGCTGGGTGTGGGCCGCCAGTGCTGGGGTTCGCGGATTACTGAGTAAGGGGGATGGAGTGGCGGCGGGCAGTGAGGGTGGGGCTGGCGGGGGTGAGATCTTCTTGTGGGCAGAGGTGACGGTGGGGGAGGTGTGAGCGGTGAAGGCAGGGGCGGCGTGCCTGGTGGTCGCTGGAGACGAGTAGAATACGTATTCTTATTCTCTGGCCAAGTCTCTAAAAAAGGGGGTGACCCCAGCTAGCAAGAGCCCCTCCTAGCGGACCCAGCGGGGTCTGCCGATATTCAGTATACAGTATTACAATATAATTGTCATATTTGTTATATTGCAGAATATAGTACTGTATTCTAGCATTGACATACACAAGGCCAGCCCTGGAACTGCTGCTGACTTTACCTGGGCCGCGCAGGACGACAAAGCTGTGTAAGACAGAGGTGCTTAGAAGTGCAGCTGATATGTTGGCGTGTTGTCCAAGCAGCTCGTATTACTACACGAAGTGTCATTTCATCCTCGTCGAAGACACGCGATTTAGCAATTGGAGACGTCCGTTACGCGACAAGCGATGGGACCACTGGTTCATTCGCACAGGATGTGCATTGTCGGAAACATGCCGGGACTTCTCCATGAGGACATGAAAGAGACGATCGTTCAAGATCAGGGCATCGGAACGTCGTATCCCCTAAGCGTGGTTCTCGGCTCGCCTTCTCGCGCCTCCTCGATACCTTGGACAGGCTGCGAGTGAGACCGCCAGTAGGGGGCTCAGCAGCTTGACGACTGGCGGATGGCAGTGCATTGCTGCGTCGTTGCAGAGAGGGTCGCGTTTTGAGGAACCCGTGGTCATGCAGGGTTTGCTGAACAAGTGCATGAATGAAAGTGTTTGTCTCGCTCCCTCTCCCTCTCTCTCTCTCTCTCTCCTGAACCCAACTTAACGGCACTCCGCTTCCTTTCTTGGCGCCAGCGCGAGAGCCTGAGGTCCCAGCGTCCCTGATGAGCCTCCGGGAGGCTTCCGCCGTTTTTGGTGTGCTGAGCTTCATTCTTGGTTTTCGGGGCAGGCCCGTGGGAGATTGATGCCACTGCCTTCGGCGACTATGCTGCTACATTCGCGCCTCGGTCAGAAGTTTCTGAGGTTCGACAAGCTTTGCGTCCTGAGACTGAAAGATATACGGCTCTGATTTGCGATGTCGAACTCAGGCAAGGCTGGACTTCAACCAGGCCACATCCCGAGCATTTGGAGGGATCAAAGGTGACAGGGACGTACGGTTGAAGACCGCAGACGGTTTTGAAACTAGGCTTAAGCAGAGGGGGAGCGTCAGAGTCGTCAGAGGTTTGCTCCCGAGTTCTGTCCAGGACGGCTTCGTCGAGGGTGTGGACGCACGAAGTCACTTCGACCACTCTGGGCGCGGAGCCCCGGAGTTAAGATCATTTAAGCAACGCTTTTCTGTAGCAGCATAGTTCGTGCTATGCAGCGATAGTAGTGTGGTGTCGGGCCTGCCTTGCACGTGCATTATATGGCTTCTGCTGGACTGGATCTTGGTGCCATGCGGTGCGACCGGTTCCATGTCTGTGGAGTTGGACTCTGCCAAGGCTCCAGCCGGTGGATCTTGCTCAAATCTGGGCCTTGGCAGATGCAGGTGGAGCGACGTACCCTGTTGCAGTTATTAGCAGAATGTGCTACCAGCTGGACCGGGACACAGCATGGAGCAATTGTGAAGAGTCCTCACCGCACCCAAGAATGCAGCAGGCCGTGACGGACGCTTGTCCCTGGCAGAGTGCAGCGCTTACGGTATTTGCCAGGAAAAAGTTACCAGTATTTATTTCAGGCAAGGGCAGCTCATTTCCTTCGTGCTGATCTCGCTGGCATCATCTCAATGCAACAGCTGGAGTTTTCTAAAGGGAGCAGCTGTCAAGGACCACCAACAAACCGCCAAGACTGTTGTCACGCGTCTCTGTGCAGTCACCTTGCAGCCTAAATTGACAGGAATTTGGAGCACATGCTCATCTGCGGTTTGAAGCAAGGCATAAGGATAAAGGGTGCTCGACTTTCTAAAGCACAGCCAACTCGGTGTTATGCCGGCTCTCTCAAAGGAGGATCAATATCAGAAGGGGCATCAACTGTGCCTTTTTTTTGGTGTGGCTGGTGTTTGTGTTTTTGGCGTCGCTCGTGTCTTTTCTGGTCATTCTAGTGGTTGGGAGCAAGAGACTCGAACAAGAGGGCCTCCGGCATGACCGCAAAAGAACAACTTTCGGCTGTTTGGGGTTGATTTCTTAGGCGGGTTGAGAAATGCTGTCAAAGTGTAGGGTGGGGTATAAGGTGTGGGGTTAGCCTATGCTTGCTTTTAAGAGCATCAGGCCTTTAAGCCTTGATCAGCATCCTGCTGAGCCTTGTAAGAGAAGACACTGACGCAACAGGTTTGCGGTGGCTGCCACACTTGTTGACCGCCGGAGCAAAGGCAAGGGCAGGGCAGAATTAGTTTTGGTAGGACGATAGCGGGGATATGGATTGAATAGTAGGCTGATGATGGTAGTGACGACGATGATGGTACTGATCATCATCATCATGTGATCTCGTTGCGATAGTGCTGCCTGTGGCCTTCACGCGATGTACTTCAAGTTGCCCCAAGAGTGTGCTCACGCCACAGGCCGGATGCCCTTTATTTTCGCGATCATACACATTGCCCTCTCGGGCTCTTCGGCATGGTCTCGAAAACACCACCGCTGTTGGGTTGGAGCCCGGTTGAAAATTTGCAAAATTCAAGAACCGTGTTCTCGCCACAGTGCCATTCGCCTTTCTTGGTTTTGGAATGTTTTGCGTGGGAGGAGAGGCTCGTGCTCTTGCGGAAGTGTCGTCCGCATGTTTTGGGAGTGAATCGTGCTCTCTCCGCAGTGCAGCACGCAGTGCACTTGGATGCGTTTTGCGGAGCAAGGCTTGCGAGCATGCTGCAAGTACTGTGCAGACGTACTCACCAGGGTGGGCGTGACATGATGGCCTCAGATCGTTGAGGCTTAGACCACTGCTCTAGGCCGGCATAATTCTGCTTGGTTTTATGTCTCACAAGATTTTGTCATCATAGTCATTGTAAGTTCGCGACCATCGCGGAAGGCAGCTGCTATCGGAATCTGCAACGACACGCCGTGAAACCGCAACCAGACAACCGCAGGTGCGGAGCTTCCACCGTTCTTGCCGTCTGGTCCCCGGTCTGGGCGCATGTCGATGGTGCTTGGCTCCAAAACTGACGTTCGTTTGTAACAGCAGTTTGTATATGCCTTCCCCAACCTTCTGACCAAAAGCGTTTTAGTCAGCGAGCATGCAACCTGCTGCAAGGAACGACTCGGCGAACAGTCGCTAGACATGGCTGTAAAATTACATGGAAGTACAGATTTTTGGAGGGCTGTCTTCCGTGGTGGCAGGGATCGTTCCGCAGTAGGAAAGTCGAGACCCAGCTTGCATAACATCAAGAACTCATGATTGAAAGACGTTTTTTATCTTGTAGCAGTCCTTCGGCACTGAATCATAGATGCAGGGTCCCGTATCGGAACAAGCCGTGTTTCTTGCTGCATTGAGGCCATCACTGTTTGGAAGCGCATCGCAGTGGTGGGCCCAGCTTGCAGGGGGATCCTAACTATAAGGATAGAGACCTGACCCGGAGAAGTTAATTTAAATCGTCATAGCTTTGACTGGAAGGCTGGCAGAGGTCTCCTGGGAAGTGACGCCTGAAGAGCGTGAAGGCAGAAGTCCGGACAAGATCTTGATGCATAAGATTCCCTACACTGGAGCCGTCCACGCAAGTGCAAAATCAGTGAACGTGACACGCATCGCTTGGGCATGCAGCGGCAGATTTGGAGGTTTGCAGCAGCTCTTCCTTTCTGCGCCCCGGGACGGCGGGTTCCTGGCTGCAGCAGATGCTGGGGCCCTTGTCCTTTTCATGAAACCTGAACTGCTTGAACATCTCTGGCTCCACCTTGAGGGAGTTGCTAGTATGCCAGTATGCGCCCTTGGTAGCAGGCAGCTCTCCCTTCGTGCATGAACCGGACCGTATGTGCATCCCTTTGCTGCAACGAGGCAGGGCAAATTCTGGAGAGGCGCGTGACAGCGGGACTGATACCCTCCAGTGGGCTGGGACTTCGAGTAACAACAACATAGATGGGGCCAGATTCCCTTTCGGGCAGGTCACAGCTGCCACGCTCAGAGCTTTCGCAGATTTGGAGCCTATCTGACACTCGGCTAAGCAGATCCTTCTGCGGGTTCATTTCTGATGAAGTCCTGGCAGCGGTCCCCGGCTCGAGGATGTGGACGGTGACGGGCGCCTCCGTTTCGGCGAGTTCATGTGCGCGATGACTCTTGCAGAGAGGCGCGTAGAACTAACTACAGGTAGAACCAATTAACTGCTGTAAACTAGCCAGTGAACTCCATGAAGTCATGAAACTCCAAGAATACGTTGTCATCGCAGCATGGCCGAGGCGTCGCCAGGGTGCCGCCCTGCCCTCCTTGCTACCTGTGGCTTTGCAGGCCGTGTCCCTGGCGAGATGCCCAGAAGAACCGGTCGCACTTGCGTCTCCGAAGTGCCGCCGGCCGCTGCAAGGAAGACCTGCCTTCCATAGGGCCTCAAGTGGCGGGCGATGTGGGTGCGCGAGACCCTGGAGACCGGCGCCTGGAGGACGAAAGCATTGCACCCATCCAGCCGGCAGGTGGCCTGACGAAGCTAACGGGTTTGACGCATGTTGACGTTTTTTTTTTTCGGATCCTCTCCTCGGAGTCCGAGGCTCAGGTGATGCACTCTGGGAGCCTTCGGCCGACGAGCTCGGCGACTACAAGCAGCTCTTCCTGCGCAGGGGACCAAGCTGTCCTGAATGGCTGGAGTCGTAGGGTTTTGCGGATTGCTCTGAACTCGAGTTCTCGGCTTGTTTACAGTACCAGATGTACCAACATCAGTAGCATATCACCTTTTGACGAGCCATTGGAGAAGCGACCTTAATTTCGAGCACGCAATGAAAGATCGAGTTGATGCACTACATCCTGTATGAAGATGGCATATGGTGCTGGCATGCAGATACATATACATGCAACCAGCATACATGTACATATGATGTCAATCTATATATACACATATGGATATATCTGTACACTACATGCATGTATCGTTCGTATGAGAGAGGAGAAGCAAAAAGGGTGTAAGAAATTGCAGAAGGTAGCATCGCGAAGACCGTGCCTTCACGGGTTTTATGCCGACCCGAAGGAAAGCGAGCGAGAGGCATGTCATGGCATGTCATGACTCTGCTGCCATGGCCCTTACAAGCAGAGGCCTGGTGGGCGACGCAGACGCCCTCCTCGGGGCCCAGGGAGGTAAGGAGGCCGCGCCCTGAAGTCGAGCATTCACAAGCGGCTCCGGAGAGACTCAGCAGTAGACAGGGCGGAAGACGGTGGGGAAGAAGTCAAGACGATTTTTACAGGTCAGCTGAGACAGTGCTTGTAACGACCAGGTGCTGGAGCGCAGCGGTCTCCCTCTGACAGAGCTGGCAGCCATTTGGAACCTCTCCGATGCCAGAAGCTCAAAAGAGACAGGACAGCTGTACGGAATACACTAATAAGTGCGATGCCTGAGTTCTTGGCGGACATCTTTGAAGCATGGACTGACGACCGCAAAACACTTTCCAGGTGGACGGAGATGGCGAGCTGGCCTTGTGCGAGTTCGCCTGTGCCATGCACCTCACAGCCAGGCACATGGTGCTGCTGGAACCTGCGCTGGTAAAGCTCGTCCAGACCGGTCGGCAGTCATCACCAGCTAGAGATGCTTGAGTAGGCTCCTGCTGGCTTCTGCTACATTGAACCTGCAGGATAATCACCCCCTTAACCATCTATCCCCTCAGACAGTCCCGCCCCGTGAATCTCTCCACCAATTCTGCGTCGGAAGATCACTACTTGTTTACTACTGGCACGAGGCAAAGCCAACTTTGCTGCCTGCATTGCGGTGAAGAGTAACGACGTGAAACCGATCGAATAGTATGGTAGAGTTTATCATGACAGCGCATGTTCGGGGGAGGGGATGTTTCCAACCGTACACAAACAATCCGTTGCGTTCAGTTTGTAGAGGATGCTTGGAGCGATGTGTTCGGAGGAGGGGTGTTTCGAGCGTGTTCATTCGGTGTGGTATGTTTGTTGGGTTGTTCATCGACGTTGATCCCCTGCTGTGTCGATTGCCGACTGCGCGGATTAGGCAGGGACATAATGTAAGTTCATGTAAGGACAAACCGCAGAGCCTCGGCGATTTGCCCCCACATTGTAAGCGTTCCACGGGCGAATCCTTTAGCATCCTAGGAGCAAACTGAGCTACCCGCCAAGTATGGCCCAAACGAACAGCTCCGGAAAGCGTTTCACAACAGCAGCTCACATGCGTCGAGAAGTGCACTCAGCGCCGGCCAATTGCTTTATGAGGTCAACAGTCCCTCTCGGGAAGGAGGATGAGCGCATGAAGGGCCCTTCCATACCCTCAGTTTCTTCCCGAGTGGGAACATTGACCAGCCGGCCAGCATCTTCTGGCGCTGTCAGCTGATACCCCGGAAGGTTTGTTTGTATATTTCGTCTCTAAAGGCAAAGGTCTGTACATTGACATGAAATCGAGTGGCCAACATGGCTAGGGGTGCCATTTGTGTATTGACTTGAAGCTTCCTGAAACGGATTCTCGAAATGTCGCAGTTTTACATGCCGACGGCTTCCACACCTGTGTGGAATGAAGTGTGATAGTTGAGACCCACTGGCGAGCTGCAAACCCCAAGGCCATGCAATACTGGGTTGTTGTTGAAGGCTGAACAGTCCAACAAATCTTGAGACCCGATTGCCGTGTTCTCGCATCCGACAGGCGTCGTGCCGGCGCTGTCCTGCCGGAGGTGCAACAACCCATCCCGTTCTAAAGAAATCTGACGAAACAGAGGTGATGTTGCGAGTGCTCCAGATACTAAGCACCCATGTGACCCAACATGCGATGCATGATCACAGAACGTCTACCGCTCCGCATGCGTCCATCTAGTGTTGTTGGCAGGAGCTGCCTTCACCTCTGACAAGGCCGCTCGCCAACAAAGCACATTCCAGGCATTCCATTGCTTGGATTCTGTAGGCTGGTGGCGGGCGCGGTGCAGTTTCCAGAGATTGCAAATTCGTGCGTGCCTTGGGCGTTGCTCTTTTTGCCATCTCATGCATCGGTCGAAGCATGGAATCCTGGAAGGCTTCCTGCAGAAGATGACTCCAGATGGGTCAGGGCCCCTTTGCCATGTCAGCTCCCAGGGCGGAAGCCTTGGCACCTTGAGGCGATCGATCCGGAGCTTCTCAACCAGTGCCCCTGTCCTATTTTCCATGAGCATCTGGGGGCCCAAGCTTGTTCAAGTTGGCAGGGTGGGGGAACTGAGAAGTATAAGAGACGGAAGGAGTGAATGCTTGAACCTGAAGCATATGACAGCAATGCCCGCCTTAAACTATTCTCGACGCAGCGGCCTTCCCAATTGCCGGAAGACAGCTCTCAAAGAAGCGACAACACGTCTCTCCTCTACTCGACGCAGCATGCTTGCCAGGTATCGGCAGATCTTTGACGGCATTGAGCGCCGCCATGCCGACTCGCTCAGCGCAGTGGAAGCGCAGGAGGCGTACAGGGTTAGCGGAATGTTTCCAACTTCGTACTGCATGCATCATCATAATGTCATAACATCTAGAATCTTAGAAGCCTAGTGCTATGAACATCTGGTTGTGTTAACACAGAGATGTTGTGCAAAACCCAAATATGCGTTTTGAATGCATGGGGGAAAGAGTTTGGGCGTCCGTGTCGCATGCATGTGTGTTTGCAGGTGCGTTTTGGATACGTTTCGTGTTTGTTTGGATCGGTCTGGGATGCTTTTGAAGTGCGTTTGGAGTGCGCTTTAAGTGAGTTTTTGGATCCGTCCTGGCCCCGCCCCGGTTTCGGCCGCGGCCCTCCCCACCCTATTCCCTGGCCCCGACAGGCGCATCCCAAAGCGGAATCCAAAACGCATCCCCAAACGCAGTTTTCCTTGCAAAAGTGCGTTTTTGGATGCTTTTGGATCTGTTTGGGAACCGTTTGTGAATGCGTTTCGGCCCCGGCCCTCCCCACCCGCCCGGCCCTGGCCCCTGCAAAACAGATGCAACTCTTCTCCTTGAAAAACTGCGTTTCTGATCCACGTTTGGAACAAGGAGACTCCAAACGCAGCCCAAAATGCACGTCAAACGCACTTTAGACGCATCCAAAACGGACCGAAAACGCAATCTCCCAGATGCCCCCGAACACATCCCAAACGCAACTGAAACGCATAATTACATAATTAGGAGAATACAGCATGTCCAGAGCTAGCAGGATAAACCTGGTGCTGACGGATCGATGAGACTTTGCTGTTTCGACAGGTTCTGCAGCGGTCGAGGCTTCCGAACCAGGAGCTGGAGGCGATCTGGCAGCTCAGTGACGTGGACCAGGCGTGGCGGGGAAGTGAACAGAAAAAGACACTCAGTACCATCAGTACTGGACACCTGATGTAGTACGGATTGCCGAAGGCCAGCTTGCTGTGCCCGCAGCCACAGCAGACCAGGGTTGAGAAGCTTTTCCCTGTCAGGACGGAGAGCTGTGCTTCGAAGAGTTCGCTTGCGCGATCCACCTGGCATCCTTGAGGAGAGAGGCGGATGAGGGGAAAGATATGGAAAGATTCGATCTGCAAAAAGATTCCCTGACGAGTTTGAGTATCGCACACCGCCGATTCTGGGATTCCCAAACCCTGCATATCTCTACACCCTCATCGAGCCGCAAGCACCCTGCCACGAAGCGGTTCCCTTAATTGCAACCAAGTTCACAGAGCTCGTGTTCTTGGTATGGACCGTATCATCTCTGCTTGCGATACGGCCTATCACCAGGGCGAAGAGCTTCCGTCCCAGCTGCCACCAGCGCACAGCTCTCAGGGCGGAAGGGCAGATGCTCACCCGAGTGAAAGAAGGTCTTCCTCACAACATTCTGCCGCTAAGTTTCTACCTTGATTGATGCAAGAACGAGGGCTGCTGCACATGCTGTTCTTGCTGCTGGCCCTGTGCCCTTGCTCTCAATCTCAGTCACCGATCCCACTTTCATGTTTGTGAAGATTGCTCTTAAACTGCGGACTAAACGGTGACAAATATGACTGTCGCGGCCAAGACTGGAGAATATGGACAACAAAACACTCCCCCTTGCATTACGCAGCATTGTCGCAGAGGCTGGCAGCGAGCCTCGCCAACAGCACAGGCGCCGCGGTGGGTGTATGTATGCCATGTACACATGCATGCATGCGCATACAAGCTGATACTGTAAGTTAGCGTTGCAAAGTGCATCACAGTACTTTGCGATCAGGATTCAGACCATCTGTGCACGAGCAATGCTGACGTCGTTTGCCCTGCACGGCCCGCTTCAGTCACTGCAGCTAGGCGGAGACAGCACAGACATTTGGTCCCTCGATCCGGTGGAGCTGCAGCGGTACAGCGAGCCCCTGGCCATCGATCAGAAGAGGATGCAGGGTTTTCGATTCCTGATTTTGGAGTTTTCAGAGGTTTGAAAATGGTCCTCTTCGACTGAGCCCCTGACTGTTGGTTGAGGCTGTTTTTCAGTATAGCTTCTTGGAAATGTGGGAGCTGTTGCTTGCGGGAATCGCGCGAAGTCTGCTCAAGGCTGTCGCTGCAGCTCGTCGGTTTGGGGCTTTAGGGTTTGAGGGGTTGTCTGTTTTAGGGGATTTAGTGACATCCTCCACGTCGGCTAATCAGGACTGGACTGCTGGACACACTGGTAGATGCGTCAGTCTTGTCAAGCACCGCGATCTGAGGCTCTTCGCATCACTTCCCAGGCGCGTTGGGTTCTGTCCATGGGCCTGGGCAAGTGAGAGCTTCCGAGCTTCGGTCTGGAAATGCAAAGCCACGGGTTGTCGTACTGCGTGATGCTCGCAGCCCGACACTCTCTCAAGTCTCGCAGCATGCGGCTGTAGCGTGACCGCATAGAAACTGGATAAATCTTGTGCCTAGGCAGGGCGATGTACTTGCCGCTGAAGATGCCAAGGAGGCCGGAAAGTTCCATGTCTTCCGATTGTCGAACCAGATAGTCAGACTCCTCACACGACGGATGTGGGATGCTTTCAAGGTGTTGGAGCGTTCCGGACTTCCGACGGAAGAGCTGCGCCAGATTTGGAGGCTGGGTGCCCGCTAGTTCAACCTGACGTACTGCATATGCTGGTTCATGAACAGCTTGTTCGATCGCAGCCCCTTTCTCCTCGAGCTTAGATGCGCACCTTCGTGGGAAAAGCCTATGCGACGAGTGGCATTCGTGCTTGAAGGTTCTCGGGGCGACTCTCAGCCGTATGTTGCAGCAGCGAAAGCACTGCAGTCCGACGGCTTCTCGGTGCTGATCATAGCTTGCAAAGATGTTGAGAGCATGGTGGAGCCACTGGGCACCCAACAGCAGCACTTTCGGGCCGCAGGTCGCAGCTTTAGATAAAGGCAAAAAGAGGCTTCCTTTCAGCCGTCTCTGCGGCCGCTTTGAGGCAGCAGGGTCTTCGCAGGATTACCGCTCTCGGCGCGCGAGGTGTCCACCAGCCCAGAGGTGGTCGAAGCAGTTTCGGCCAACGACTTTCGAGGAATCTCAGCTGCAGTGGCCGCCAAGAAGTGGCTTGGCTGAAGTTTCAGGCGAAGGTCGCGAAGGCTGTAAGGCAGCAAGTGAGAAGGTGGCGACAGCACGGAGCAAGCAATGTAAAACTCCGTGCTTTCTTAACAAAGCTGTGTTGTCGAGGAAAGCTTGCCGTGCAGAGACGGTGCAGGTCTATTTCGGAGCTCTGAAAGCTTTTGAGCCAGAGCTGATCATCGCTTCGGCAATGGGCCTGACGGATAGCCTCTGCATCTCGAAGGTCTTGAAGCATGGTCCTGTCCCGGTGATATGTCTGGGTTTGCAGGTGATGGTTCCCTCCAGCTACATCGGTGCCCTAGGCGTGCTGCCTAGGCTTCCCAGATGTTGCGGCATAAGCTGGTCGTGAAGATGCTCTCGTCCAAAGGGGCAAGGTCTCTCATTGAGGCCCTTCCTGCAGAACCTGGACGAGCCCATGACACCGACCTTCTTGTTACTTACCAGGAATTTTGCGACCACTGCAGCTGTAGCCCTCGTTTTCCATGTCTCTTTGCAGTCAGCACAGCTCTGCACGGGCCTTTCCCTCCTGACTTCAGCGACCTGTGCCGTGCTTTGGGCCCTATCTGCTATGAGCCCGAGATGGAAATCGGGGTCGACTTCGGCGGCTCGGAGGTAGCGCTTTTGAAGGACTTTTTGGCGAAAGGCGAGGCCCCCGTGTACATGGGCTATGGATCTATGGTCTATCGAAGTGGCAAGTTCATGAGTCTCCTGAGCCTCCGAGCCCTGAAGTCCACGGGACGCCGGGCAGTCCTCTTGCGGGGTTGGGCTCAGCTCGGTCTCCAAGACATCGACTCCGAGCCGGATGCCGACGAGCTGCGCAGCTTCTGCGATTCCCGGGTGCTCTTCCTGGAGACTGCGCCGCACGCCCGGCTCTTCCCGCGCTGCAGCGTCATCGTGCATCATGGAGGTGCCGGCACCACCTATGCTGCAGCGAGGAGTGGTGTCCCCAGCGTGGTTGTACCAATACTTTTGGACCAGTTCGTCCATGCCAGGCTTATGAATGAGAAGGGTACCGGGATAGGACTGCGTGGCATGAGCTCGACCTCTCCCGACGAGCTGTCGCAAGCAATATTGACCTGCCTGCAATCGACCCACATCCGGGAAAGAGCGGCATCTCTGGGTCGAGATCTTGCGAAGGAGAATGGAGCTGGGAAGTTTGTCGGTGAAGTCCGGCGTTTCTTCGCGGATTTTGTTGATTCCGGGCGCTACGCGAAGGAGAAGCAGGCCTCGCTGGCCGAGCGAAAGAGCAGCAGGGGCTGGCGTTGGCGTGACTGGCTTTGCTGCGCCGCCTCCTTTTGCCAAGCAAATGGTGGCAAGCACTAACATACTACGATAGCTCAGCGGCTGGGCTGGTCTGGCTACTGATCGGAAGAGTTCTTGGTGGCCACAGCTGATCACCATCGATTTCGATAAGATTACTGTTTCCGGTAGGACTTCCTGTTTCTCGCAACACATGTGCAGGAGGGAAAAGTCAAGCTGTGCTGGAGGTTGGAAGCCAAAACGAACGGCAAGAAAGGAAGAAGGAATATCACAAGAGATCAATGGGAGCAAGAACTCGGGCGGCTTCCAGGAAAACGACGCGAGCTGTTTAGCACGAACTTGGCAGAATGCCGGAGGTTCGGGAGCTCATGCACAGGGTTTCTTTGGTCAAGTCTGGTCGAGGCTCCGCGTGCTCGGGAGTTGCTTCAATTGCAGACATTGTGCCTCTCGCACGGACTGTTGTATCTTGCTTGTATATACAAACAAACTGGTTTATATGTACCCACAGCGGCCTGCCTGTTGGAATAGTTGATGGTATTGGTACCATTGTACTTAACACACGGATGGTAGTGACCCGATGTGACCCGAACGCTTGGAACGGAAATGCGTAGGCAGCGAAAACATGGACCCTATCAGCCCATCAGCAGTCAAAGAACCGAAGTAGCCGAAGGCTCGCCGACCGAGACGGGGACGGCGCCCTGGATGCAGGGGAGTTCGCCCTAGCCGCAGCTCTGGCAGATCGCCGGCGTCAGGCCGGGCCGCAGAGGACTTCTGCCTTTCAGGAGGTTTCAGGTTCCTGTAAGCCTCCTCAAAAGGAGACGCTGCCGCAGCCCTTTCCGGATCCCTTGTATTTAAAACCAAGCACGGGTCGGGAGCTGCTTCTTAGGTGGGAACAGATGTCAGAACTTTGGGCTGTGTCGCGCTCATGCTCAAAAGCTCCCAAGTCAAGCATCAGACCTCAGGAACAGCTTCAGCAAATTTGATTTGGGGTTGCACTGAGGACCCCCCTTGGCCGCTTGTGGGGGATTGGAGATGGGTTTCAGCTCGCGGGAGCTTGGGGCTTTGGGCGTGACCTTTCTCTGCAGGGCTACAGCCTGCCAGACGTGCTCCCGCCGGAAATGCTGCAGGTAGGCCTTGAGCTCTTGGGAACTCTGCGGACACTCCGAAGCTGCAAGGCCATCGGCTTCGGAGGCGAGTCCGACTGGGCTGGCGCCTCGGAGGTCGTGAAGTCTTCCGGGGCACAGCTCTGCTGCTGAGGCCATGGCAGCCGAGGACCTGCAAAGATACCGCGACATCTTTCAGGCGAGCGCATGAAGTGGGCGTCGCAGATTGTCCAGTTACAGCATCGTTTTGAAGCGGATAGGGCCTTTCTCTCCAACGAGATGGTCACCTGAAAACTCGCGATGCTTGGCAGGCCTGACACCGCAGATATCCGCAGATTTAGGGCACGCGGTCCGCACCTCCCGAGTACGGAAAGTTTGAAAGAACCGGAACCCACATGACCACACCACCTCGGTGGCCTCGTGGTCGGAAGAAGGTCTAGCATCATTGATATCATTGTGACAGTCCGTAGCCGCGTAGCCTTCTTGCGGCTTCCCTTCCAGGTCCTGGAACGCTCTGGGCTCCCTACAGAGGACAACATGCGAGAGCTGAAAGGTCCCTGTCCCCTGCGTCGTTCCAAGTACTCGCATTGTCAAGTGATCAGAAGCTGGCAAGTGCTTGGGGAGCGGAGGAGCTGTCGGCTGTACTGCGCCTCGTTCGTGGTGACAAGGCCAGGCCTCATCCCACACGCAGCGAAGTTCAACGTGTAACGACGAGAAGATGATATCGAGTCTTGGGCTTGTGCAACTTGTGCAGGATGGGGCGCTGACCTTCAGTCAGTTTGCTTGCTCGCTGCATCTTCTGCACGGGCCTCGGGTGCCCTCGAATTGTCAAAGTATGTAAAAGCTTGGTCGCCGAAACTTCCCCAGGGCCCGCCGCCGCGCCGGCGCACTGTTGCCCTCGTCACTCCCGGAGGAGCTTGCTGCGTTGGGCGACCTGAGCACGCCCGTTCGCCGAGCAAAAGGGGACTGTGGCAGCTCCGCACAGGCTTTGCTGCGACGGCCTTTCCACTAAAGCCCACATATATATATATATAGATAGTACCCCCCCCCTCCAAAACCTAGGTTTTACTATTTTTCATCGTAAATAACAGTGATTTCATCACTTTCTCACCATTAGAGGTTGGAAAAGCAATGGAATGCTA